AGGTTGAGGAACTTCCCTTCTGTTTCTAGTTTGCTGAATGTTTTTATTATGAACATGTATTGGATTTTGTGAGATGCATTTCTGCATCTATAAAAATGAATATGTGTTTTGCCCTTTATTCAACACATATGATATATTACATTAATTAAGGTTCAGATGTTTAACCAACCCTGCATTTTTGCAATACATTCTATTTGATAGTGGAGAATAATTCTTTTTACATTTTGTTGAATCTTTTTAGTAGTCCTCTGTAGCATAGACTTAGGAAATTCAGGAAAACTCTTTATATAAGTCTTATAGATTCTTGGAGACAAACAACTTTGATTATTGAAGAGAAAAATGCTAAAGCATGCAAATGACATATTTGGCGTGAAGAATAGCTCTGGCTAGATTATCGTGTAAGAATTTTATGATTTAATGCTAAACTTCATAAAGACAGATGAGTCAGGTGCAGCCTTGAATATTTGTAAGGATAATATTAATAATTATGATGGTGCTAATTTTGTTACCTTGCCTTTGTTTAATGACTTATCCTCTTTTTTAAAGTGCCACAACGTGCACTGACTCTTTTATCATCAAAGCAATCCTGTGAGGTTTAAGGTTAGAAATTATTGTTCTCATCTGGCAAGTGAAGAAATAGCCTTAGGGAGATTAAGTGATTTTTTGATAAAGAGGGAGGGATTAACAATTATGAAGACGTATGACTTACCAGACTTAGACTAGAATGTACATATATGTGTTAGGCCTCAAAACTAGGTTTTAGTATTTCTTTTTTTACAGGAGAAGAAGTTGGAAGGTGGAAAAAACTGACCCCAGGTCAGTGAAAAGCAAGAGAGAACACTGGGTTTTGTTTTTTATTGATACATAATTGTTATACATATTTGAGGGTACATGATATTTTGATACAGGCATACAATGTGCAATGATCAAATTGGGGTAATTAGGATATTCTCAAACATTTATCATTTTTTTGTGTTAGGAACCTTCCAAATAGTCTAGCTATTTTGAAATATACAACAAATTCTTTGTTAACTATAGTCACTCTACTGTGCTATTAAACACTAGAACTTATTCCTTCTATCTAACTATATTTTGGGCCTCTCATCACCTCCCATCATGCCCCACTTTTCCCTGCCTCTGGTAACCATATTTTACTCTCTGCCTCTATGAGATCCACTTTTTTTTTTAGCTCCCACATATATGTGAAAACATGCACTATTTGTCTTTCTTTGCCTGGCTTATTTCACTTAACATAATGTACTTCAATTCCATCTATGCAGTTGCCAATGACAGAATTTCACTATTATGTATGGTTTAATAATATCCCATTGTGTGTATATATACCACATTTTCTTTGTCCATTCATCTGTTGATAGACACTTATGTTGAGTCCATATCTCGGCTATTGCGAATAGTGTTGAAATAAACATAGGAGTGCAGATATCTCTCTAAATTATTGATTTTATTTTGGATATATATCCAGCAGTGGGATTGCTGGATCATATGGTACTTTTTTGAGGTATTTCCATACCAATTTCCATAATGGTTGTATTAATTTACATTTCCACCAACAGTGTATAAGAGTTCCTTTTTTTTTTTTTTTTTTTGAGTCAGGGTCTCACTCTGTTGCCTGGGCTGGAGTGCAGTGGCAAAATCACGGCTCACCACAGCCTTGACCTACTGGGCTAAAGTAATCCTTCTACCTCAGCCTCCTGAGTAGCTGGGACTGTAGGCATACGCCACCACGCCCTGCTGATTTTTAATTTTTTTTGTAGGCACTAGATCTCACTATTTTGCCTAGGCTGGTCTCAAACTCCTGGGCTCAAGTAATCTTCCCACCTCAGCCTCCTAAAGTGCTGAGATTACAGGCATGGAAAGAATGCTTGCCAGCATTCATTACTTTATATCTTTATATCTTTCTGATGATCACTATTCACTGAACTGATATGATATCTGATTGTGGTTTTAATTTGTATTTCCCCGATAATTAGTGATATTGAGCATTTTTCATATTCCTGGTGGAGTTACTTAGTTCCTTGGATAATGGTAGATGTTATCATTATTGATTCATTAATGTGAAAAATTTCATGTGAATAATATTTTAACAGTAAAATCCAGTTTTACCATTGATTTATATCACAATTCAAGGATGCTTTATAATTTCTGATTGATAGTTATTGTTTCCCAATATTTTAAAACAGTATTTATCAACTGAGAGTGATCCTTTCCCAACACATTTGGCAATGTCTGGAAGCATTTTTGGTTGTCACAAGTTGGCAAGTAGGGTACTGGCATCTAGTGGGTAAAACCAGAGATTGTATCAAACATCCTATAATGCACAGTCTCCCACAACAAAGCATCATCCATTCTCAAATATTAGTAGAGCCAAAGTCAAGGCACTCATGAGATCAAGGCATTTGCGAGGTCGAGGCACTCGCTGTAAAGAGTTCCTCTCCATGACCATCATCTCTATGTGTAATTATCTCCTGATGTGGCTGTTTTATTAGATGATTTTGGATGTTCTTGAGTGTATGTATTTAAGCAGTTTTATGATTTATGCTTGGTCTCTTACTCTCACAGATACTGTTTAATGAACTTAAAGTCCCTTTCCTGTAAATGATTTTTACTTGGTAAAAATTAAAAGGTACAGAAGGGTATCTAATTTTAAAGAAAGTTTCCATGAAATGATATGATGTTTGGGATTTGCTTCAAAATAATCTGGTGGTGTTTTGGAAGTTTCTCAAAAAGTTAAACATAGAGTTTATCATCTGACCCTGCAATTTCACTCCTAGGTATAGACTTAAAAGAATTGAAAACAAATGCTCAAAGAAATATATATACATGCATGTTCATAGCAGCACTGTTCACAATAGCCAAAAGGTGAAAACAGCCCAGATGTTCATTAACTGATGGATGGATAAGCAAATTATGGTATATTCATACAATAGAATATTGTTCATCTATAAAAAGGAATAAAGTACTGATGTATGTTGCGATGTGAACAAAACTCAAAAGCATTATGCTAAATAAAAGAATCAGACACAAAATATCACATATTGTATGATTTTATTTATATGCAGTATCTAAAATAACTCTGTAGAGATAAAACACAGATTGGTAGTTTTTAAAATACTCTTCACAGCCACATCCTCTGGTTACTCAATTCTCCTCCCCAGAAGCAACCACTCTTAGCAGTTTCTTGACTATCCTTCCAGAGACACAGTGTACATTTCTGTGTAAATTATCTTTTTGACACTATACACTAGACATATTTTTGACTTAATATCTTAGTTTTTGTTTAATATTAGTAAATAAAGGACTTGTCTAATTCTTTGTGATGTCACATAGTATTCCATTGTGTGGATCTAACGTAAGTTAAGCAGTCTCTTATTATTGAGTGTTTAGGTTGTTTCTAATCTTATTAATTTATGCCTGATGTTTTTTAATTTTGTACAGTACATCATTTCACATACATGCAACTGTGTCTATTGGATAAAATTACTCAAAGTAGAATTACTTTCAAAGGGTTTATCTTTTTAATTTTATTGGGCATTGTCAAATTGCTTTCAGTAGAAGTTATACCAGTTTATATTCCCACCAGCAATGAATGAGTGTTCATTTCTGCATACTCTGTCAACACAGTTGCATCTTCTACAATTCTTAGTTGGAAAAGAATGTAGTGAATCATAGACAGAGTAAAATTGGTTTTTATAAATTGATTCTTTTTAGCCGGGCTCGGTGGCTCAGCCTGTAATCCCACGCCTTTGGGAGGCTGAGGTGAGTGGATTGCCTGAGCCCGCGGGTTCGAGACCCGCCTGGGCAGCGAGACCTCATCTCTACAATAAATCAAAAAATCAGCCGGGCGTGGTAGCACATGCCTGTAATTCCGGCTACTTGGAAGGCTGAGGCAGAAGGATCGCCAGAGCCCAGCAGGTCGAGGCTGCGGTGGCCGGAAGCGGCCACTGCACTCCAGTCTGGGTGACAGAGTGAGACTCCAACTCAAAAAAAAAAAAAAAAAAAAAAGAAAGGCATTGTATATGTTAAAGAGTCAGAAGAGAGAATTTTCAATTTTCTTACAACAAATGATAAATGTGTATAGTGATGGATATGCTAATTACCATGATTTGATCATTACACAATGTGTACATGTTTTGAAATATTGCATTGTACCTATAAATATGTACAATTATTATGTGTCAGTTAAAAAAATGTTGTATCATCAACACTATGGCACAGAGAATTATGTGGTGTGAAAAAAGAGACCTCCCACAACTCAGGAGTTGTACTCTAAATGTGAAGTTTTAGAAATACTTTCACTGATTTATTTTGTTTATATTTGTTATATTATGTTTTTTAAAAGGATATATGATATAAACCTGCCTACATCTAAAATAACTTTTAATTATTATAAAAATTATAAATGTAAAAAAGCATTGTGTTATACATAGTTTTTAATAGGTAAAGTTTTATCTTAGTGACAATTTTAAAATGCTGTTTCTTAGAATTGATGGATTCAATGAAATAAAGTCAGTGATAGTTAAAGCCAGGGAATAGTAGGATTACTAAGGCCTGAACTTTTATAAAGAATTAGAGTTTCATAGAATCTACTTTATACACAGCTTGCCTCTTTATCCGTAAAACTCAATTCAAGGATCTCATTCCTCAGAAAATGCCTTCTCTAACATCCTCATCCCTATCCCTATGGCTAAGTACAGAATTTAATAACGAGACCATAGATTAGCAAAATTGTACTCATTTTTATCCATTGTGATTTTATTTCCCCTCTATTTGTGCTTCTAGGGAGAAAATATTGAGGATTATAGTGGGTGTGTATTCAAAAGGAATTAAAGAGTGAAGGTAGCACTAGGACGTTGTGAATGATTCAGTGAAGCACCATCTTAATTTTCTGGTGATTTTTGCTAACCAAATATTTTCATCCCCATGTCTCCCCATTTCCTTTTTTTATTTTTTAAATCTTTTTTTGTTTGTTTATTTTTAAGGAAAGCCCAGAAGAAAGAACAGTAAACATGAGCTCTATTCGGGTAAATCAATTTACTTTCATCATGTTCAGGGTTTTCATAAAACCTAATTTCATTAAAAGAATGTATGCTTTTCCTCTTTTTCAAATCTTAAGTCTCTTGACTCCACATAGTCAGAGTGAGGTGTTTGCCTTCTGAATTCATTCCAGTGACTTTAATGTGAATTTATTGGCACATATCCTCTCCAGACTTCTCTAGGATATAACTTTTCATAGTTTGACTCTGCCTGTTATGACCATGCATTGTCTAATTTTAGTGCAGTTGCCTATCTACAAAGTGTGACTGTAATGAGTCTGATTTAATAAAAGCATATATAATTGTCTCATTATTATAGAAAATCCTGCTGTTTGCATATTTAATATAGACAGTAATATAATAATGTCTGCTCCTATGTTATCTATTTTAGGTGTTAAATTCCTAGAGTATGAAAATGGTGGCTGGCACATTTCCAGTTTACAGTACTTTTTTCAGATGAATCTCAGCTAAATATTTTTGCCAATATAATACAAAGGATGTTGGGTACTTTTTGGTGTAAATGTTGCTTAGTGACTGAGTTCCAATTATGAACCTGACCCCCTGAGCTAATTCTTGCTATGTGCATCCAGGATGCTATGAACTTTTCCTAGGGAAAGAAGGAAAATAGAGAATGAACATAATAAAATAATCAATAAATAATTTTTCTTTTTTTGTGCTTGCAGGGAAAGAAATGGAACTGGTATTTGGACTATTTATTTTCAGAGGGGTTGCAAGGCTTGAAACTTTTCATAAGAAGTAGTATTCATCGTTCTTCTGTTCCTTGATCAGAGAGCATAAACCACAACGATCAACATTAAATGAACATTGGCGTAAACAAACTGAGCATACTGGACTAAATTAATTCCTTGTTCCTAGAGGAAAAGTTGCTCAACTTGAGTTTCATATTTGTTTTACTAGCAAATTGCCATCCTCAAGGAGTACTAAGACTGGCCTTCCATCCATGCTAAATTCTTTAGCCTACTAGTGAAAAATGACTTCATCATCAGGCTCTGTTTTACACCAAGTTATGCATAAAGGGATGCATCTGTTTTGTGGTAGTATTTTTCACATTTTTGTCTACTATGAGCTGAATTAGTGCAAAAGAACAGATAATATACAGTGGCAATTAATTCACAGACATACACATGCAAAATACTCTACTGCCTTGTGAAACCTCTGGGAATATTGCCATTTTTCTAATTGTGAACAACAGCACCAGCACCAAGTTAACAGGATACAACATGTATGACTCTAAGAACCCTAAGAAGTTGGTTACTTTTGGGCCTTCACTGGTAGCATTTGATAAGGGAAGGAAGGGGAGATAATTTGTGGGGTATTCAAGACATTCCTATTTATATTGGTTTGATTTTTTTTTTAACTTATAAATTAAGCATTGCTTGTCGTTTTTGTTAATCTTAAGTATTAATTCATAGTGAATCATTACTCAGGATTTGTGGCTAATGTGATTCATTCATTCATTCCTTCTCTGTCTTTTTCTCATTTCCTTCCTCATATTAATTCAGAATATACCATTAGGATAGCACTAGAAAGTGAAATTATAGCCAAGCAATATTTTCAGTTTGTTATCAGCAGTTTGTGAAGATAGTCTGATTATTAAAACATGTAAAAGATCACTTCCCTGAATGAAAAATAACAGCAGCAACAAAAAAGTTCCCACCATGACACTGCATAATTGCAACCCCCTTCCTCTGCTGCCTTGTTAGCTTGGCAGTGATGGCCTTTAGTATTTGTGATCTCTGCATGAAGCCCACGCTGGCCTAGGCTATGATGGGTTTATAGGAAACTGAACATGTCTCTCTGCCCTTAAAATAAGTCTTCTATTCAGAAGCTCTTAACCTAATGCATTTAACTCTTTAATGGTTCAGAAAATTACTCAAGTAACATCAGAGAAGCCACATCTTTGTGGGCAACCTTTTCAAGCATAACTATGAGGCTCTTTCTGCATATATTTTCTAGGAATGAGGTTTGCATTTGGAAGCAGTACATTTGTTGTTCTGAATGAAAAGTTGATCATTTCATTTATGAGATTTAGTCATCTCTTTTCACAAATCGGTTTTGTAAAATTATCAAGTGTATGAAATGTATTGCAAAGGCTCTTCAGTCTTCCCTTTGGAGGACTATATTTTCTTTCTTTAAAACTCCACTGTGACTCCTTTTCAGTCTTGACTTTCCTGGTTACAACCCTGTCACAAACAACTGGTCTCCATCCTATATTTAATTTTCTATATTAAATTTCTGCCTATATCAGTTTGATTTCATGAAATTGCTCTGTTTTATCTGTTTGTATATATGTGTCTATATCTCTAGTTTTTAAGTGTTTAGGACTAAATAAAATAACCACAATTTTATTTGATAATTCTGAAGTATAAAAATTTTTTCATAACAGCTAGAGTATCTTGCTGAAAATTTACTATAAAATTTTGCTTCAGTGCTACTGAAGAACTCTTTCCCTTCTCATAAAATTCATATCATTTGAGAGAAATCAAGCAGAATTTATTTTTGTCTTTAAAGGCACATTTGTATGTGTTTTTTTATTCCTATTAAAACAAAACCCTATATTATTGGATGGTGTCCAAACTAGAAATACTATTCATCCACTCACTCATTAATTGATTCCATAAATGTTTATTGAACTCCTTACCATGTGCCAGGTGTCCTGTGTGCTGGTTATACAACTGTGACCAAAACAAGGTACCTACTTTTATGGAGTTTACATTCCAATGGAGAAGACAGGCAATAACAGTATAAACAAATATATAATATCAAGTGCTATGAAGAAAAGGCAGGGAATAGGGGCAGAATGTGTTGACTTTGTCAAATGCTTTTTCTGCATCTATAGAAATGAGCATATGGATTTTGTCCTTCATTCTCTTAACATGATGTTTCACATTTATTGATTTGTGTATGTTGAACCATCTGGGTATCATTGGGATGAATCACATTGGAATAGAATGTGGAGAGGGTTACTACTTTAGATAAGGTGGTTTGGGAAGGCCTGTTTGAAGAAGTGACATGTACAGAGGCCTTAATGAAGTAAGCATATGAACCATGAGAATATTTGAGGAAAGAGTATTTGGGCAGATGCAAAGGCAAGTGAAAAGGCCCTAAAATGTTAACTTATTTGACATATTTGAGGAATAACAGAGAGGCAAGTGAGGTTACAGCATAGTGAAATGGGAAAAGTTAGGGACTAGTTTATGAAGATCCTTATAACCTGGCGTAGATATATATAAATGGAGAGTCACTAGAATGAGAAGAGGAGTGACATAATTTGATTTACTTGTGTGAGTTATGGCGTTGCAGTGTGAAGATTAGACTGAAGAGGATTAAAGAGGAAAGGGAGACCATGCATTAGGTTATTACAGTGTTCCAGGCAACAGACATGGACTAGTGTGATAGATGAGGGGTGATGGTTAGATGTTGGATTCAGACTCTATGTTTAAGGTTGAAAGTAGAGAAGATAGGATCTGCTGATAACTTGGAGATGAGGAACAGGAAGGAGGGTAGTAAAGAATGACTGCTAGATTTTGTATCTGAATTTTGAGATGTAGAGATGAGGCATGCTGGAAGAGGGACAGCTTTGGAGGAGTGTGGAATCAAGTTCTATTTTGGCCATGTTAGGTTGGAGATGCTGTGTATGCAACTGTTTTTTTAGTCTGGATTTCAGGATACAGTTTGAGACTGGAAGAATTAATTTGGGAGTCATTAAGGAATAACTGTGACATTGGATAAGATCACCTAGTGTAGGCATAAAACGATGGCACAAGACTGAACCCTGGAATATACCAGTGTGAAGAAGTAGAGAAGAGGAGGAACCAGCAAAGGACTGAGAAGGACTGACCAGTGAGCTAGAAGGAAAATCAGGAGGCCGGCATGCTGGAAGCCAAGTAAAGAAAGTGTTTCAAAAACAGAGGGAGTATTGAATGGTGTGGAATGTTGCCTTTATACCTGGAAAATAGAAGCTTTAGATGCTTTGAAGAAAATGTGATAGCTTTTCTAATGGGTAACCTTTTTCATTTAAAGATTTCTCTTGTTCTCAAGTTTGTACTCCAAATAACTTTTCCATATTGTTTTTAAGAACATGTTACTTTGTTCCTTAAGATCTTGTAGAACTTTCACTTGTGAGGAGGAATTTGATTATTTTTCATGCTAATAATCTTTAGATCGTTGAAGAAACTAGTCTAAGTTTAAATTTGTGTTCCAGGAGAAAGCGTTTTTTCCTTAGGTTTGTCTTTTTGTTTAATCATGATTCCCTTGATACATTTTTCTTCTCCCCCCCAAATAAAATACGTAGAAAGTCAGCTAGGCATGGTGGCTCACACCTGTAATCCCACACTTTGGGAGGCTGAGGCACAAGGATTGCTTGAGTCCAGGAGTTTGAGACTAGCCTAGGGAACATAGCGAGACCTCATCTCTACAAGAAATACAAAAGATTAGCTGGGCATAGTGACGCACACCTGTAGTCCCAGCTACTCGGGAGGCTGAGGTGGAAGGATTAACCTGAGCCCAAGAGATTGAGGCTTCAGTGAACCTGGGTGACAGAGTGGGGCCCCAACTTAAACAAAAAAAAGTGCCTGGGTACATTTTTTTGCTCCTAGTTCTCTTGATCAGTTTTTAAACCTATTGAAGATTAAGTATATAACTATACAAATAAGCAAAATCTAATTATTTGAAAAAAATCTTTGAAGATTCTCCACGGAAAACCCTGTAATATTTAAATATGAATAGCTATTTTGCATCAGTGCAAGAGATGTCTAGAAAAGAAAAAAATTGAAAATTTTGTTTATTATTGCAATTGTACAAAAACAATACTTTCTTTTTTTTTTTTTTTTTTTTTTTGAGTTGGAGTCTCACTCCTTCGCCCAGACTGTAGTGCAGTGGCACGCACACTCACAGCCACCCCAGCGTTGACCTGCTGGGCTCCGGTGATCCTTCCACCTCAGTCTTCCAAGTAGGTGGAACTACAGGCACATGCTACCACGCCTGGCTAATTTTTGATTTATTGTAGAGACGAGGTCTCGCCAAGTTGCCCGGGCTGGTTGCAAACCCTTGAGCTCAGGTGATCCATTCACCTCAGCCTCCCAAAGTGCTGGGATTACAGGCTGAGCCACCGAGCCCATCCCAAAATAATACTTTGTTTACTCGGTGTTTGTATAACATTTTGACACTATAAATATTGATCTAATGTTCAGCACTAAAATTGCTATTAGATTCCTGATGTTATTCTTTTTTCATAGCTTCTCCTTTTTTTATCTTGGGACTGATCTGGAAAGAAAAATTGTGAAGTCTAGTGCCACACATAACTTTTATTAACATAGTAGAATCCTTTACTAGAAGGAAAATAAATTTATTCTCTAGAATTGATATTATATTTTTAAAAGGTTTTTCCAGTTGATAGTATCCTTCCCTTTCTTTAAATTATTAGTTTTTTATATAGAGAGCCTATATTTTAGCATGTAAAATATTATATTTCTAACAAAAATGGTAAAAATGTTTAATAAAGTGTACTGTTGGCCTGAATTGCCTATGCTTTATAATACTCAGAAAAGGATATGTTCCCAAGAGACATGATAATACATGTGAATGAAAGCCTACTTTTAAGTATGTAATGGGAAAACAAATTTATTTAGCTTGCTAGGAAGAGAATTTGCGTTATCTAACTAGATTTGATGCATGGAGCTGAAGGCTGGATATCAAAGAGTCTTTCATTCCTTCTAATTTGTGGTTTAAATTACTATTGAATTGTATGACCTTGGAAAAGTTA